CCCAGGCTGGCCTCGAACTCACAAAGATCCACCTGCCTCTGCCTCCCGAGTGCTGGGATTAAAGGCGTGCGCCACCACCGCCCGGCTTACTTTTTTCTTCTTAAAAATGCTTTTTACTTTAGGATTATTCACAAAAGCTTTAATATATCATTTGATATTAGACGTGCAGAGTCTCTCCCTTCATTTAACTGTGGATATTGTAGGAAGTTGATATGGTAGTTTGCTTAGCTCTGCAGACTTGATACTTGAGGAGCTGTGTTTATTTTCAAGGAGCTTGTTGATTAGAAAGCTAAAGAAATTTCAGTTTTCTTAAAATGTCTAAAAACAGAAATAAAAGAGTGTTTTGTAATGTTAGGAAAAATTATTTATGGTTATAATTTCAGTTCCAAATCAAAATTGAACCAAAAGTGACTTCAGTGCCTGATCCTGATACAAACATTGAGGACTAGTTTTAAGTGATTTAGTTCAGGCCTGGAGATTTATAGTGGATCCAGTTTCTTCACCTTTATTTTCTTCTGCATTTATTTCAGTCTCCTTCACTGGGCCTTTAGTTAGTTAATCTCTATAAAATACAGATGTGATTGCACCAGTCACTTGCTTATAACCCCTTTCTAGTTCTTATTTACTATCTATAGGAGAAAGTCCAAACACTTTAGCAGGATCTACAAAGCCATTTACAAGTCTTGATAGAAGTGTCTGGTTGTGTTCCCCATTGCTTTGGCTGTGAATATAAGCCTTTTTTGGACCCTCTCTTGAATGCTAAGGTTTCTTTTTGTCTTGTGGAGTTTATTGTCACTATACTTTTATTAATGCCTCTAACTGACCAAAGTGAAATTTTATGTTTTAATGACTTAATTATCTCTGGTGTGGACAATCCCCCCCAACCCCCCATCTTCTGTGTTCCCACATTGTGTTTTGATTATGTGGCTAGTATATTCCAGTTTTTACATTATACTAGCATGTGTATCTATGTTTGCTTCAATAGAGTTGACCATTTGTGGACAAAAATTTTGTTTGTATATATCCTCACAAATATGCTCAAATGTTTGCATTAAATCAAAGATGAACTGTAGTTCATTCTTTGAAATAGACTTTTCAGACATAAAAATTGAGTATTGGATTTCTTAGTGTCTAACTATATTCTCAAAGAGAACTGGTGAGTATAAAAAAGTTAAAACAAGTAGTGTTCTAAAAAAGTTTCTGTGAAAGTTAGTGTAAGTTATAAACTAGGCTGACTTCTCAAATAGTACTTTCATAAGAAGTGGATATGCTGTTTTGGATCATGTAAAGATTCCTTTATGCTCAGTCATATATTTACTTCGACATTGCTGGGTGAGCTATATTCATATATTTTTATAGTTCAGTGACATAGAGTTATTGAAAATCACAAATAAATCTAGAATTAGTGAGGTAATAATGGCTTTATTTTGATGGTAAGTAAGTTAAAAAGGGTCTTCTTGCCAGTGTCTTTATGACTGGTCTTAGTACACTGAGTATACTTTACTCCTGGTCATTTAGTGAGGGCAAGTATAATAGTGTTTGAGAGGAGCTTGGGCTCTTACCCTGAGTATGAAATACTCTGCTCTTTGATAATTATATGACTTGTCTCTCTTATTTCTTATCTGTGAAGTATAGATGTTAATAACAGTACCACAGGATTGCCTTAAGAGTGTGTAACTATGGAACCTGGCACATAAAAGAAAAGCCCAAATGTCAGATATTGCTATTTTTTTCCCTTTAAAAAAAAAAATCTATCCTTTGACCTTGTCCTGTAGGATTTTTTTACATTGCTTGCATACATTGGCTTTTTTTTTTTTTTTTTTTTTGGTTTTTCGAGACAGGGTTTCTCTGCGTAGCTTTGCGCCTTTCCTGGAGCTCACTTGGTAGCCCAGGCTGGCCTCGAACTCGCAGAGATCCGCCTGGCTCTGCCTCCTGAGCACGGGATTAAAGGCGTGCGCCACCACTGCCCGGCCACATTGGCATTTTTTAAATGTTGTTGAATCTATAAACCATGGGGATGATTCTTTGCTGTTACAGAATGTAAAACATACATGCTTCATATTCTATGGCAATTTTAGAGTAATAAGCACGGCCACATTCTTTATTCTCCAGCATTTAGCTAGTAGTAAAACTTTGCAGACTTGACTTCTGCTGTGTAGTCGCAGGAATATTTCCTCATTAAGTGTTGTTTTTGTTTGTTTGAGACGAGGCTTGACTCATAGCTTAGTCTGGCCTTGGATCCCAGATGACCCTCCATCTCCACTTCCCCTGTGCTGGGAACATAGGTAGGAGCCTTAACATTGCCCAGCTGCTGTGTGTGTGTGTGTGTGTGTGTGTGTGTGTGTGTTTTTTGTAAGGTTTCATCTCCCCTGTACTCTCCAGTAGTTACTAAACACACACACGCACATCTATGTATGTACATATTTATATTTGTATATGTAGTTTGGTGATTTATACATCACAAAATTGTAGCTTTTTTTAGATTTGTGACATAGCAGTAATACACAGATTGACTCTTCTAATTCAGATAGCTTGGTAACAAACACCGTGCTGCTTGTGTGTGTCTGCTCCTTCCCTCAATGGTACTTGATGTCAGTTTTTGTTTTTTTGTTTGCTTGTTTTTCTTTTAAAAATCTTGCTATATAGCCCAGGTTTGCTTCAATAGCCCCAAGGTGGCTCTCCCCGCCACCCCCAAGTCACGGTTTCTCTGTGTAACAGCCCTGGTTGTGCTGGAACTCACCTTGTAGAACAGGTGCCTCGAACTCGGGGTTTTCCTGCCTCTACCTCCCAAGTGCTGGGATTGAAGGTGTGTGCTCCTACCGTCCAGTGCCCAAGCTGGTCTTAAACTTGAGGCAGTCATCTGCTTCAGCCTCCTGAGTGTCCTGAAACTCTTATCTGTTATCTGCCTCTTCCTCCTGAATGTCAGGATTAAAGGTGTGTGTCACCATTACCTGGCTTATTTAATTATTTTTAGTGGGTTGAATACTTTTTGAACTCTGTCCTGTTCATAATCTTGCTTACATCCCTGTTTTGTACAGTTTAAAGATTATAGATCAGTGATTAAAAGATCAATTTGTGTTGCTAGGCTATATATGTTTAAATATTTATATATATCTCTCCCCCCCCCCCCTGTTACTCAGCTGCTTTGGTTGAGACTGAAAAATCACATGGATAAAAATGTGGTTGTAAAATAATCTAGAATGTTCTGATTAAGATACTTCCCCATTTAAATAGGATGTACTATGGTAACTTACAGCTCGAAGTGAAAATTACTGTGGTATGTATAGCACTGCTTCTGTATTTGAGCTCTTGTTTTATTAAGATGGTTTTCATTTTTACATAGTAGGATTTGTACTAGGTGAGGTGTTTTGGTAATCGAGTTAAGCTATCGTGCATCACAACATTTTTGTTTTCTTCATCCAGACAGGTGATTTGGCTTCTGCACAGTTAGGAGGAGGAGCACCAAACCGATGGGAGGTTTTGTCAGCCACTCCTGCAGCTATAAAAGATGAAGCTGGCAACCTAGTGCAGATCCCAGGTGCTGCTACTTCAAGTGGGCAGTATGTCCTTCCCCTTCAGAATTTGCAGAATCAACAGATATTTTCAGTTGCACCAGGATCAGATTCATCAAATGGTACAGTGTCCAATGTTCAGTATCAAGTAATACCACAGATTCAGTCAACAGATGCCCAGCAGGTTCAGATTGGCTTCACAGGCTCCTCAGATAATGGGGGTATAAATCAAGAAAGCAGTCAAATTCAGATCATTCCTGGCTCTAATCAAACCCTACTTGCCTCTGGAACACCTCCTGCTAATATCCAGAATCTCATACCACAGACTGGTCAAGTCCAGGTTCAGGGAGTTGCAATTGGTGGTTCATCATTTCCTGGCCAAACTCAAGTAGTTGCTAATGTGCCTCTTGGTCTGCCAGGAAATATTACCTTTGTACCAATCAATAGTGTCGATCTAGATTCTTTGGGACTCTCGGGAAGTTCTCAGACAATGACTGCAGGCATTAATGCCGATGGACATTTGATAAACACAGGACAAGCTATGGATAGTTCAGACAATTCAGAAAGGACTGGTGAGCGGGTTTCTCCTGATGTTAATGAAACCAATACAGATACAGATTTATTTGTGCCAACATCCTCTTCATCACAGTTGCCTGTTACGATAGATAGTACAGGTATATTGCAACAAAACACAAATAGCTTGACTACTTCTAGTGGGCAAGTCCATTCTTCAGATCTTCAGGGAAATTATATCCAGTCGCCTGTTTCTGAAGAGACACAGGCTCAGAATATTCAGGTTTCTACAGCACAGCCTGTTGTACAACATCTACAACTTCAAGATTCTCAGCAGCCAACCAGTCAAGCCCAGATTGTGCAAGGTATTACACCACAGACAATCCATGGTGTGCAAGCCAGTGGTCAAAATATATCTCAACAGGCTTTGCAAAACCTTCAGTTGCAACTGAATCCTGGAACCTTTTTAATTCAGGCACAGACAGTGACCCCTTCTGGACAGATAACCTGGCAAACATTTCAAGTACAAGGGGTCCAGAACTTGCAGAATTTGCAAATACAGAATACCGCTGCCCAACAAATAACTTTGACGCCTGTTCAGACACTCACGCTTGGTCAAGTTGCAGCAGGTGGAGCGTTGACTTCAACTCCAGTTAGTCTAAGCACTGGTCAGTTGCCAAATCTACAGACAGTTACAGTAAATTCTATAGATTCTACTGGTATACAGCTACATCCAGGAGAGAATGCTGACAGTCCTGCAGGTGAGTCTTGATGATATGCCTTAAAAAGTGCAAGGATAAAAACAGGAAATTTTTGCTTTAGTTGTTTATCAGCATCTGGCATTCATTAAAGGTGCTCCATCCTTGTATTTATATGTAAGGAGACATCATAGTATTTTCCAAATTGTTCTTTTTGAAACTTTGTAATATTTGAAGTGAAAGATTGTCTATTGTACTAGTAACACTTTTTTCCCTACAACAGGTACATGTTTGTTTTGGCATTCCATTGGTATTATCAGGCATCATAGTTTTTTGGGGAGTCGGGGAGGGCATGAGAGTATCTTCATTGTTCTTGGTGTGAGATGAGTTTGACTTCTTTTTTTGGGGCGGGAGGGGGGGGAGATAGTGTAGCCCAAGGCTGGCCTGGAACTTGCCATGTAGACCAAGCTGGCTTTGAACTCAGATCTGCCTCCTGTCTTCCCAGTGCTGTGATTCAAGATGTGTGCTACCATGCCTGGCTGGGTTAGACATTGCATATGTGGTATTTGGGTGAAATATTAGCTTGGCATAACAAAACATGGTGCTGGAAATTAAGAGTACTTAACTCTCTCAGCCACTAGATAGGTGATTCTGGCTATTTCTCTCCGGCAGATTGAATTTCTTCATTATATAAAGTGGGCATGTTAAACTAGGAAACTAAGTAGATACTGGCCAGACCTAACATTCTGATTTTTGTGATAGTGGACGTTAAATTTGGCTGAGTTAGAAATAACTGTTGATAAGTATATATTGTAGATGTTTAAGTCTACTCATTGAATGTTTTGCAAGCATGATTAAATAATGAAGCTTAAAATGTAGCATTGTTACCATATTAATGTTATTATTTGTCTAGATAACATTGAATATTTTCATTTTACACTAATTCCTGACTTTTACAATTTTAATTCTTCTACTTCACATTTAGATTTCTGAGGAGATCATACTGTTAAAACTTTCCAGTCTGGCTGGGGGGGGTGGGGGTGGCGTACGCCTTTAATCCCAGCACTCAGGAGGCAGAGGCAGGCGGATCTCTGAGTTGAAGGCCAGCCAGGGCTACACAGGACAGGGAAGCCCTGTTTTGAAAACAGCAAAACAAAAAAACCCCTTTCCAGTCTTTCTGATTCTAAAGTCTTAAATTGGGTTACAGAATTGAATCGATTGAAGTGACTTTTTTAACATCAGTTTTTACTGTTCATTTGTTTTGTTTTTCGGGATGGTTTCTCTGTGTAGCCTGCCTGTTCTAGAACTAGCTCTGTAGGCCAGGTGGCCTGAAACTCAAAAGAGACCTGCCTGCCTCTGCCTCCCAAGTGCTGGGGATTAAAGACTGCCCTGCTTCCATCATCACTTTGAATGATTCCTTTTCCCCCATTTTCTCTTCTTCCTGTTCTTAGAAATTTGAGATATATGTCCAGAAAGTGGGGTTGTGCTTGAGTCTCACATTTGTATCTGGAAGTTCTTTATTATATCTGGGTTTCTGAAACTGATTTAGAATTGTCTTTTTCTTTTTTCTTTTTGGTTTTTCAAGACAGGGTTTCTCTTTGTAGCCCTGGCTGTCCTGGATCTCCTACTGTAGACCAGGCTGGCCTTGACCTCACAGATCTGCCTGCCTCTGCCTCCTCAGTGGGGCTAAAGGTGTGCACCACCACCCAACTTAGAATAGTTTTTCAAAGTTTGATTTGTAGCCTCTAGAGAGCCTGAGGATCCTTTCAGAAATTCTTTTTCTAATGATACAAAGATATTTGCCTCTTTTACTGTGTTCACACTGACTGATCAGATTTTAAACTCAAGGTTGGAGAGATGACTCAGTGGTTAAAAGCATTTGCAGCTCAATATGAGGACTAGTTCTAACCCAGCTAATGTTTGGGTGGCAGACAAACACCTGTAACTCCAGTTCCTAAACCTGGCCTCTGCAAGCACCTGCATACTCCTATGCGTGTACACACGTGTACACAGACACAGACACGGGCATATACATTAAAAAAAGAAAAAATCCTTTAAACTGTACAAGTATTTGTATTCTTCATGATTATATACTTCAAGTTAAAGTAAAATTATAGTTTCACTGAAAATCTACTTGATAAGTCAGTAAAAATGTTTACAAAATTTTGACTTTTACATGTTGTATAACTTTAAAAAGTAGTAGCTTTTAAAAGAAATTACTCTGTGTGTGAATGCAGGTCATTTATGTGTATGCCATTGTGCACATTGGTTCGGAAGGAGGTGATGCTCTTTCTACTTGTGGGAACTGGGATCAAACTCAGGTGCTTAGAAATCATGTCAAGTGCTTAAGAATAATAGCTTTATTGAAGTACAACCCGCAAAATTTGTCTTGTAAAGCATACAATTTAGTAGTTTTCAGTTTGCAACTGTAATCTGCCTATTTTTAGAGCATTTTCATCACCCCGAACAATCCATATCTTGTCTCTGTCAGCTACTTCTTGTACTTACCTTACCTACTTTCTATCTCTTCTAATTTGCTTTTCATTTCATATTAGTGACCTATTGTGCCTTTCTTTCATGTAACAGTATTTTCAAGGTTCATCTGTGTTGTAGATTTATCAGTACCTTATTTCATTTTATAACTAAATAATATTTTATGGAGGGATATATTAAAACTTGTCTGTTGGTAGACATTGGGTTTCTGCTTTCTTTGGTTACTATGAATCATGCTGTTATATGAATGTGTGTGTGTGTGTGTGTGTGAGAGAGAGAGAGAGAGAGAGAGAGAGAGAGAGAGAGAGAGAACAAGCATATTGTTTTTGTTTTATGCATGAGGGTTCCAGTTTCTTTGCATCTCAGTCAGTATTTACTATTGACCACTTTTTTTTAATTTTGATATCTTAGTTGGGTGAAATGATAACTCAATGTGTTTAGGCGTTTTTCCTAAAACTGTGCGCTATGTGCATGTCTGGTGCCTACAGAGGCCAGAAAGGGATATTGGATTCCCTGGAACTAAAGTTACAGATGGTTGTAAGCCACTAGGTGAATGCTGGAATTGAACTTGGGTCCTCTGGAAAAACAGCCAGTGCTCTTAACCACTGAGCCATTTCTTCATCCTCAAAACTAGTTTTTGAGACTTCATATGTGAAGTGATTGACACCTTTTTGCAAGAATAGAAGTGAGCTTGTCACATTTGACAGGCACATATTTCTTGTCAGTGGTAAAATGAAGGATTTCTAGGAGAAAATTGGAATTTTTTTTCTATAGCTTAGATTTACTGTGTAAGTTTATATTTTTTCCTGATGCTATGGGTGGTAATGATAAAGATTTTTAAAAATATAATTGGGTGTTTGACACTTGGAAGTCTCTAGGAAAGCTGAGTGAACCAGTGGTTTTTAAATAAGCAGTTTATAGTGTTACAAACCATTTAAACTGTAAGATAGATCAACAGAGCATGGAAAGTTTACCAATGGGGGTAAGATTCTACATTAGAACTGACCTTTAAGAGACTGGTGGTTGTGAACGCCTTTAAGCCTGGCACTGGGGAAGCAGAGGCAGACAGATCTGAGTTTGAGGTCAGCCTGGTCTACAGAGTAAGTTACAGGATAACCAGTGACACACAGAGAAACTGTCTCGCAAAACCAAAAAAAAAAAAAAAAGAAAGGAAGAGACTGCTGCTTGTCAAGTTTGGAGTAGTATCAAAGAATGCCTATAGTTAGCTGAAAGGCTCTTGAGTTATTCCTCGAGCATTCAAGGATTTGCAAAAATATAAAACATGCTTTCCCTCTTTGTGTTCTGTAGTCCTGGCTGTTAATGGATCTTGCTGTGTAGAACAGGCAGGGCTTTAATTTGCAGCATTGATCCTTCTGCCTCTACCTCTTAAGTGGTGGCATTACAGACATGCACCACCATGTCTGCCTTGTTTTCTTTTTAAAAGACTTTTGTTTGGCAAGTAGCTTTTCATAAAATGTTCATTTGTGTTAATGTGATGCGTTTGTTTGTTTAGCTGTTTATTTACTTGATGCTGGGGATTAAGCCTGGGAGCCTGACACATTGCTTAGGCAGGTACTCTTAAGATTTATTTTTAAGTTTTATGTATTCATTTCTCTTTTCCTCTGTGTGTGTATATGTATGTGTTTATGAGAGACAGAGAGAGAGAGAGAGGGAGAGAGAGGATATCATGATATCCTAATATGAATAAAATATTTTTGTGAACTGTAGTCATATTTAAAGACATTACATAGAGAGTCTTGGGCTAGGGGTGTGGCTCAGCGCTTAGCACACAACAGGTTTTGGATTTAATCCCTCTATGTGTGAGAGTTACTTGTGAGACATTTGAAGATGTAAGCTGAAACATTTGAAAATTCTGAAATGTTCTAAAAACATTTAGAAATTTTTTCTTAGAAATTCGTTTTTGAAGATTTTTATAAGGTTAGTGTTGTACAGTGCTAAAAATGTTAGGAAAGCATTACTGGAAATTGTATGATTTTGTCTTGAGACAAATCTCACTCTAAGGTAGATAGGCTCCAAACTTGCATCGATCTTTCTTCCTCAGCCTCTCAGGTGCTGGGCTGCAGACATCCACCATGCAGGACACATACTTTGGATTCGTGTTGATTATGAAACTAGGTTGGCATACATTAAGTACTTCCAGGAAGTTGCCTTCAGATGTTACCAAATAGAAACGCTGGCTTAAATTCAAGGTAGGGTTTTTAGGGCAGTGATTTGTTTTTTGATGAGTATTCCAGCACTAGTAATAAAGGACACTTTCATTTTGGGAACGTAAGGCTTTTCTTTGTGTGTATAGTTGATTATGTTGTAGGTGTGGATGTAGAGGTTGATGTTATGACAAAACTCACCTTACCCATTTTTCTTTTGAGACAGTCTTTCTGTGGATCTGGTGCCCATTGATTGGTTAGAATGGGTGGTCAGCAAGCTCCAGGGACCTTCCTGTTGTTACCCCCTTTTTTCTTTTTTACATGGGGGATCTGAACTCAGAGCTAAACACTTGTGCTGCAGACCTTTTACTGGCTGAGCCATTTCCCAAGCCCCAGTGAGTATTC